GGGGACAACATTTCCGAGAAATCGTCAGCACGTGAAAAGAGACGACACACACACATACACACATCACTCACCTGACAGCCCACCGTGTGCGTCTGCCGCGCTGCTGTCCTCCCAGGACCCGTCCGACAACGAGTTGTCCTCGACGGAGCGGTCGCGGTCGTCGCGGTCCTGGTGCGCCCGCGCGCGCTTGCCAGCCTTGCTCGGCGGCGCCCTGGTATCCTCGCGGTCATGCTGCTCTGACGGTCGTCGCTGCTTCTTTCTGCCGGCGCTCTCGCGGGCTCGATCGGCCGGGGAATCGTCGACGGCGTGCTTGGTGGCCGCGGGGTGCGGCTTACCAGCGCCGTCATCCTGCTTCTTGGACTTCGTCAACGGCCTCTTGTCGACGGCCACCTGCTGCGACTCATCCGAGCTCGAATGGAGGCTCAGATCGTCGTTGTCGTCCACGTCATAAGTCGGCGCCGTGCTGGTCGTCTTGACCCGTCGGTGTTTCCTCTCCAGCAAGTCCCTCTGAATCTTCTCCAGCCGGCGGGTGCGTTCTTCCTGCAGCTTGGCCACCTTGGCCACCTTGTCGATTCGTGGCGTCATTGTCGTCTTGGGGTGCGGCGTTAACGGGGTGCGTTTCAGCGGAGTGCTCCGCACGTCTTCAATGGAAGTGTCAACTTCTCGGCCTCCCGCGTCGGACGAGGGTGTCACCCACGTCGGCAGCTCCCCCGTGCCGGCGACGACGGCCGTGCCGGCGACGACGGCATCCTCGGACTTCGACGACACTTCGCTCGATGGCGTCACTTTCAAGCCAGCCTTCTCCAGCATCGACTCTTCAGACGACACCGTCATCCAGGAGGTCACGTCCAGGTCCAGGGGGTCGTCGGTGGGAGCAGTCACGGGCTGCCGGCTGCTCTTAGCCGTGGACTGCTTGAGGGCGGGGGCCGTCGGCGCGTCCCCGGGCAACGGGGTGACGTAGATCGTCGGGGCCTCCGGCGCCGTGGGGTCGGCAAACCCGGTGACTGAGAAGGGTACCGCGGACTCGTCGCTCTCGGTGGTCTTGTCCGCGGCGCCGGCCGAGGTCGCTGACGCCGTAGCCGTCGTCTCCGAGGTGCCGACCGCCGGCGACGGCCCGGACACCGTGGTCCTCCGGCTGCGGTCGTGGCCGTTGTGGTGGGCCCGCGGGCAGGGGTTATTGCCGGCCTCGAGGACGGCGGCCAGGCCCAGGACGAGCACGGCGACGAGCACGACGTCGGGGGCCCGCGTGGGCGTGCCGCGAGCGCACGCACGCATGGTGGTGTCTTGGAGCAAAGGGGGGACACGCCGGCTAGAGAGTGTGCACGCCGACTGAGTGGAGCGGCGGGCGGGCGGGCCCGGGCCCGGGGTCCGGGGGCCCCCTGCCACGCTGCTGCAGTTGCAGCGGCAGCAGCGGTACGGCAGGTGAGGCAACACATTCACAGGCCGCTGCCGCCGCTGCCCCCACCTCGCCGTCACCGCCAAGTCCACTACGACGTGCAAGGTCGCTGCTCCGGGCCGCCCCGCCACGCCCCGCCCCGCCACGCTTCGGGTCTTACACCTCCGCGTACCGCAGGGCGGCGCCCCACGCTACGGCCGGTCCAGGGGCACACTGAAGTGCAATAAAACAGCACGGCAAGTAGGGGCGCGCGGGCGACAGCAGGCAGGGCCGGCATGTCCGTCGGCGTCCTGCGCGCGCACGCACTGCT